CAGCTATCACAAGTACAACTCCACAAGTTTTCACTTATATCATCAATATGAATCATAAATTACAATGGCCATTTATAACTCTAAGATGCTGCAATACAAATATTCAATTCATGAAATAGAAATACACTAAGTACATATGTAATTTTCTTTAATTTCTAAAATGCAATAAATATACTCTTTAATCTTGAGATGGTGCCAGTGCGTACATACATGTAGATATTTTTATGATATACTAGTATAGTAAATTCCTCTGTATATATGTACGTATGTATGAAAGTCAATAGGTGCACAACTTACTGTCAATAAAAGTTAGATAAGAAAATCAAATAATGGATCATACACTAAGCACATGATATACTGCTGAAGTAATTATTGTTATCAGCTATGAAATATGGAAAGATCCATTATATACCATGTACACAACAGCAATACAGCATACCCTCACTTAAACTAATCTCTTGCTCCTAATGTATCTTATAGCATGACAAACCAACTATAGATATTTAATACTCGGCATCTATCTGCACAGCTTTGATGAATATAATATACACCAATTTACCTCCAGAGAATAATGGAAGATACTTTATGTCCATTTTGTAGTTTATTAATGGATAAAAAAAACCCACACTATATAAAATGATGTAATTAAAACCTTAACATTGAATTATTCTCTAATGATAACAAAAGAAAGCATTTGAACACTTGGTAAAATCAATATCATCAAAACCTATATGGTAGTTAATATTATTTTAATCATATAATTATAATTATAAAGCATAGTATTAGTAAAACACTGCCCACGAGCCCTTAGGACATGCAGTTCTACTACCCTTTGTGGTTTTTAAACCTTTAGATTTTGACCTTAAAGAATCTGCAACCTTGACCTTGCATAAAGCAAGATGACATTTACGTTTCATAAAGCATTATTTTCCTTGCTTTGAAATGAATATTCATTAGTGACCTACTTTCCTTCCCCATTAAAAAAATTATTTGACATGCATCTCAGGTTTAGTCAAGTGCATGTAGTATAACAGTACACCATTAAATATAATGTTTGTAGCCGGAGTGTCTGCTAAAACTTGTCTGTCGATGCTTGTAATCCAATCTCACAATGAATTTTTAATTTTAAAGTCATAATTTTCATTTACCAGGTAAGTTTGGAAAAATACAGTAACAAAAATTAAAATGGTATGCTTAAACTTGTCTGTCAATGATTTTAATTCAATCTCACATTGAATTTTTAATTTTAAAGTCATAATTCTCCGTTAAATTTGGAAAAATGCAATAAAAAAAATTGAAAAGAAGAGAAAAAAAAGAGTAAACAAAATGATTATTTTTACAATCCACAGACTTTGCTGGCATAACAGCAGGATTTTTGGCAGGAAAAGCAGGATATACAATGCCTTAATTTCTTCGCATCTCTGTTTTAAAAAACAACATTTTTAGCAAACCACTGCATTCTGATCTAGACACTGAATGTAAAGCTTTACCATTCTTTAACATCAAACAAAGTGACCAGTCCATTATGTCAATACATATATACAAATTTAAAGAATTCCTATTAAAACTAGAAGTACTGTGGGCAGTGAGTGCACAAAATGATACCACATGTGCCGGCCCATATGAGTATAGTGGAAAAGTCCATATTTTGCTATGGGAAAGCCTAAAAATCTGTCTAAGCAAAATATAGAGTAAAAGGTGTACAATGGTACTATGTAATAAAGATCCTGTGAAAGTATCATTAAATTTCATTTAGTGGTATAGGAGCTTGGAGTTATGGTTAAGAGATGAGTATCCACAATAATATAGAAAGAATGACAGTGTCCATATTTTGCTACGTAAACCAGATATATGTATTCTATCAAAATATGATGTAAGAGGTGCACAGCATCGTCACTAGCCAAGAGTCCGATTCGGACACTTGGCTAGCGAAGATGGGTGCACAGTTGCAGTATGTAAATAAACAAAGATTCTGTGAAAGTCTCATTAAATATTATTCAGTGATAGGGAAGGATTTGTAGATAAATGGGTAACCCAAAGTGTAATGGACAGACAGCAAGACATACAGACGGACTGACAGACAGGCATCCCCATTACTATACACCCCCACTTTTCAAATGGGGGGGGGGGGGCATTATAATCAATCAAAAGTACACAAGTCATGAAGTGACAGCTTCCATGTATGATTGTTATAGAGCCCAGCCCCAACTACAGAACCTGTGACCCAAGGACCATGGATTTCACAATTTTCAAAGAAGCACCCTTACTCATCATAGCCATGCACTTGGTTTGTATGAAAAATTCCAAGAGGCAGAGAAGATTTTCAAAAAATTAATGCATTTTCACTATATGATTATTAAGCCCTGGCCTAACTCAAAAACTCCAACCCAGGGCGATGGATTTCATAATTTTGACACCCTTGCTCATCATAACCAAGCACTTAATTTAATTCCCAGAAGCAGAGAAGAAGATTTTCAAAGAATTACTGTAATTTTCACTATATGAACAATAGAGCCCCACCATAACACCAGAACCCCTGACCCTGGGGCCATGAATTTCATATTTTTGGTTGAGGGATCAATGCTTAAATTATTATAATTAATTGCCAACAGTTTAACTGCTTGATTTCCTAGAGTAAAGAAGAAGATTTTTGAAGATTGCAAAAATTTCGATGGAATGGCCATACCCCTAAGGCTTGGGGATTAGGGGATTCGGGGGAGGGGGGGGGGCCCAAGACCATGAAATTTTCCAAATTTTGTTTCCACAGATGCTATATATACCTATAATTTATACTACTACATGTATATAAATTGGTTGAAATTGGTGCAGCGGTTCCAAAGAAGAGAAGCTAAAAATGTTCAAAATTATGTTTACAGATGCACGACAGAGGACAAAAAAGTAAGCAACAGGTCACCTTAGTGACTCAGGTGACCTTATAAAACAATTAAAATATGAAATGCTTTTCTTGAAACTGCATGGTATGAATCTATAGAGTAATTGCCCAATACCTGTGCTGCATGGAGAAGTGTCATTTTATGTTTTCTATTGTTATCAAAACAATGTTTTCTTATGATGTATATTATATGTTATTTCTTGTTCCATCAATAATCTTTGGAATTCATGATAATTAAAGTTCCAAAAAATTAAATAATAAAGCTGCAGGTCTGTAGCTTGCTGGTCTGAAAATATTGGGATGGACGACTGTCGTCCATCCCAATTTTTTCAGACCAGTGAGTTACAGACCTGCAGCTATAAATAATACTGAAACAAGTTGCTTATCATCTTACTTAGTTGGGAAACAACCCATAAAACTGAATTTAAGAATTTGATGCTGGAAAAATAGCTAAAGGATGACTGCACTTAACGCCTGTTTTTGGGTCTTTTTCGGTTACTTCTCTTGCTTTTATATCTAAACCTTATCTCACTTTTGTGTGTTTATGAAAGAATACTGTCAATTTGGAACCACATTTAAATCTTAAAATGATTTTAGACTGTGATACAATAAAATGATTCAATGTTTTTTGTCCTTACTGCTTTCCAAATATAGTGAATTTACACTTACCTGCCCTTGATTGAACATTAGATATGCATGAGAGGTGGAGCTAACATTGTAAGAATGGGTCTAAAATTAGACTTGATAAATAACAATGACATGTTTGAAAAAAAAGAACGTGATCACTCTTTCCAGTCTCCCTCTCCATTCTGTATGGCACAAATACACTTCTGACAAAGGTTTCAAAACGAAATTAACAATATGAGCACGTCAATGTAATTAAAGCAGATTTTATATCAATGCCAGATGACTTAACGTGTTCGAACACAGTGTCCTAGTTAACACAAAACATGCTACCTTTACAAGTCATGTGACGGAATTTAGTATTCACAAAGTTACCTGAAGTAAGAAATCACGTGGTGAATTATAATATTCAACATGTCACAATCCTTGGTTACAACACAGAGAGCGAATGTAAGAAGAAGCAGTTTTTTCTCTTTTTAATCATGAGCGCATGTTTGTCTATTAATCTCCTTTTAACACATTATTATTTATGCAAATATACAACTACTGTTAAACGTAGAACAATAGACAAACATGCGCTGACTATGTATAAAGTCAGTAAAAAAGTGGGCGTCCTCATTATCAAACGGAGATTCAAGAAATTGTGATGACCCCTGCCTTTGAAAACAGATTTGAACTTCGTAAATACACACTTTTATTAAACGTAATTACATAAAGTTGTAGATTGGATGTTGACCATTCTTGCAATGAAAAGAAAAATGCTTGTTTTGAAAGTTTACTTTGTCGCAAATTCCGCATGTCCTTAAGTGCAGTCATCCTTTAGATACTTTAAAGGTTATAATAACTGGTTTTGAGATTTTTTTTTCTGTGATAAAAACTGAAACTAAATTTATGCCCCCATCACTAGACATCTGATAGTTCAACACTTCATTGTAAATGCCCATATCCCAGTAAGTGGTCACCCCTTTTATTTCAATTTACACAAGTGTTCTATTTAAAAACACTGAGTGTCAGTCTTTTTGCAGTTCTTTGATACCCTGGTTATCCAAAAATTTGGCCAAATAAAGTTGGTTCTCATTTTTTTTAAAATTTGATTTGATGCGGAGCAACCTTTTTCTATATAATTAAATTATGGTCGATGCTTTTTATTACTATAGTAGACACAGCTAATTTTGAAATACTTTTGTAACCAAGTTATGAAAACATTGTTTATAATTATCAGCTTGACTACCGTATAACTGTTATCCCAGAGTCCTCTAAGTCCTATACATATTTTTTTTTCTTTTTTTTAAACTATGTAACCACATATATTAAACAGTAGTTAAGTTTTAATCCTTAATAATGTAATGCTATGCAATGCAAAAATGTTTTTATGAATTCCGATTCATTATCATCTTTTCGCCAAATCCCATAACAACATAATGACTTTATATTGCCAATTAAATCAGATTAACGTGTATCTTACGATTTTATTATTCCCTACCTGTAAGGCCCATTTTATGGATGCTGCTTTTCAGTGCTTTTTTGTTGGTCTGTAACCAAAAACAGCTTCAACGTAAAATGAAAATGAAACCAATTATCTTGGTTGTTAAAGCGTTTGTCCTTATGATTAGTTCAGTTTAGTTTTCAAGCACTACTTCAACGCAGACGAAATTTGTGTCGCGAGAAGGAAAGCACATGTATACATGTCATTAAACAGGAACTTGACGTATAGATATGCGAGGTTATGGCAAACTTAAGAGATCTACGCGAAGAAATAAAGGTAAATATTTCAAAGGACCCATTATATTTAACTATCTCAATTGTTTGGAACTGAATTGATCTAACTTGCACGTATTTTATAAATGATTAAAGCCAGTTTTACTGTCACAATTTCATTTCAATGTGCATACAGCTACAGTATATACAATATGTATTATATAATATGTAGAGCAATCTTAGACAGGTCATTTGACCAGTTTCTCAGTTCTATGATCAAATAGAAAAAAAATGTGGGGAAAAATAACAAAAAATTTAAGAATGGTGTCATTTAATTGGAACACTTGCTTTTCCTGCTACATTATTAGGAAACCTATGTGTATTATACATTAAACATACATGTACTTGTTAAAGATTATGAGACAATTCTTAAATTGGAAATTTACATGTAACAAGCAAAACAAATCAAAAGGTGAGATTTCAATTTTACAGGAAGTTCAGAGAGACAGAGAGTTTAATCTTCGGTGTAAGATATCATCATCGCAATATCAAATACTGGAATGTGTCAGGGCCAAAAATGTGGATAAGCTTAAGTCTATTATCAACAAAGGAGAAAGTCCAAACTTCAGAACTGATTCGGGAGACACATTACTGCATATTGTGGCTGCCATGGGATACAGTAAAGGTCAGATTCATTTTTAAGCAAAAAGTCATTAATGCACAATGTAAATTTCATATTGATGCATACTATACATACTATATTGATCTTTCATTAACTTTATATATGGTTTTTCTCCATATGAATGATACTTGTTAATGAATAGAAGTAATTCTTAGAAAAACTTCGTACGTAATGTATATAATATTTGTACTGGATTTTTGGTTGCTGATTTTTCTAGCTGCCAATGAAATTTTGAGGACACTTGTGTATTTGGATATGCCCCTTGATACTGCTGACAGGTTTGGACAGACTCCTCTCCACATTGCTGCTGAGAGAAGTTTAGAAATGGTGAAAGTTTTATTAGAAGCAGGGGCATCTGTGAATCTTGAAGACAATGCAGGTGATTCTTTCATTAAGGGTGTTACAGAAATCAGTGTAGTTCAGTGTACTTTTACTATATAGCAGTAGTTACAACTTTCGTGTGATACATTGGCAGAACTGTAGCTCTCCAAAAAAAATATATTGACAGACCGGAGAGCTACAGTGCAAAAATATGTGTATATTTATTGTGCACAAAAAAGTGCGCTGTTTCTCAATTTATTTCTGCATGTGTTTCAAACTGCCATCTCAAAATATTACTAACTGTGTGTTCCTAACATTTTCTTTTACTGTTTCCACAACAAAAAATTCTTATAACCATTGTAAATAGTCCTCCTGGGCCTGAAATTGAGACCATCAAAAACTTATACTGCATTATAATGCCATTTTGGGTAGCAAAATAATTCAGTCCAATGCTCATCTGCAGATGTCAATTACGAAAGTAGCTGATAGTGGTCTAAGGCATTTTTTGAAATTGAGCTTTTGTGCAGTTGAGGTAAGAATTTTTTAGAAATTAATCCACAACTATTTGTGTGCAATAAATATACAGTTTTTTCTATGGGTAGCACTGTATCTCTCTGGTCATCCATCCCATTTTTTTTTCAGACCAGCAATCTACAGATCTGCAGCTAGTCATACATACACAAAGCAAAAAATGAATGGGCTGAACTTTAATACACAATTTGTATAAACTCTTACATGTATACAGGATACATTTATGTCATGTATTCCTGTTATCAAAGTTAGAGCTTTCATCTCACTTCCTAATATAGCCTCTGCTTACAACAATATAAACAAGACTCTATTTATGTGCCTCCATGAAATTGGCTGGGGCACAATTGTGTTTGCTAAGTTCATCTTCTGTCTGTCCAATTGTCCATTTGTCATCACTTTGCATTTAGCTCAGTTTCAAAGAAAAAAATGTTCAAGATATTTTAACCAAAATTCATACACTAATACATATTGATGAAAGCTAGTTGAATGGGGCATAATTTTCGGACCTTTACCTTCCCGGTGACCTTGACCTTTCTAATCCCTTTTGTGTTCAGTTCAATTTTCAAGATATTATTCAAGATATTTTTATCAAATCTCTTACACTGAAACATGTTGGTAGGAGCAATTCAAATGTTTCATAATTTTCTTGACCTTCCTATGACCTTGACCTCACTAATATTTATATTGTTTTTCGCAAAGTTTAGAAGAAACTGTTAATACTTTCATCAAATATAATATTCTGGTAAGTTTTGATGGTAATTTTTTCAGCTGTGTAATAATTTTCTGACCTTGACCTTCCCTATGACCTTGGACCAACTTTCTGTCATTTTGCTTCTATCTTAGTTATAAACAAAACATTCAAGATATTTTCATCAAACTTCATCCAAAGAATTTGATTGATAAGAGCATATTCAACTACTGGTATGTCATAATTTTCTTACCTTGACCTTTCTAATGACCTTTACCTCATTTTTCCTTCATTTTGCAGATACCCAAGTTATAAAAGGTGTTCACAAAATATTTTCATCAATCTTTGTATTCCAATACAAATTGGTGAGAGCGATTAAAGTGTGTAAAAAAATTCTTTGACCTTGACCTTCGTTTGTCCTTAAATTTCAGATTTTTTCTTAATTTTGTTCTCATTTCATCTTGCTCAAGAAAACTCTATACACTGATATGTCTCTGTAAGAGCATTTTTATTATACATGCTTAAGAGGCCATATACATGTATAAAAATTTGCTAAATATGACACGATGAACTTCAAACAATGAGAATATTAATTAATTAAAAATTAATTAGCTGTTAGATATTAGATGGAATGATTCAATCTCAGATCAAAGAAGGAATTATAATAAGGTACAATTTTTCTTTACTGTTGCAATACAAATGTACTTTGGGCAGGGCATACATGTCCTATGAACATATTTCTAGTTTAGCCTCAAAGTAGTCATGTAAATTATTTCATTGAGTTTAAATGATGCATTGAGCATCTAATCTGGTTATGAATGCATTATAAGTGAATGTATAATAAAACATGTTTACAGTGATCATGCTTATAATGAATTTATGCTTACAGCAAAGGGATCTTTGTTCTCTAAAATTTAAAACATATTGTGAAATTGATGGATATACATGTATAATAATTATATTTATAACAAAGCAAAAGTGTTCATCCCTGGCACTTCATTCTGTGTTTTTTTAATACATTTTACGTGTGATTAAAGTGATAATGACATGTTTCATTATGTATGTAAATTTTCTTTTTTCAGGAAGAACAGCTTTGATGCATGTCTGTTCGTGTTCTAGTGAGGAAGCTCTGCCCATTGTCCACTGTTTACTGGACAGAAATGCTAACATCTTTTACCAGGATCAGGACGGACACACAGGTACATGTATTAGTAGTTCACGTCACTTACAGCTGAATGTTGACCGTACAAAGGACAACATAGGCTAAGACCCCCTTTTGGTACTATGGGGTGTCTCTAAGAATTATGCAATAGTTCATAATCAAAAGCTTGTTGTCATCCATGTTACAAAACGAGTATTGATTTTAATTGATAGCCTTGATAGGATTCACATAGGTCAAAGGAAAGTCACAAAATTTGCCAGTTTCCAAATTTTTAAAGTTTCATTCAAATTTTTATCAATTTTAAAGGCACATTTTGTTTAAAAAAAACACAGAGTGCAGGAAATTTGCAGCCGTGACATAAGGATTGTTTAGGGGGATTTGACAGTCTCCCTTGCAGAGTTGTCCTTTGTTCTTCTCTCAGACACCTCTGCAATGGGCTCGCCTCAAGATTTTTGACATAAGTTAAAAATGTGATATTCCATGGATTATTTTAAATTAAACTAATAGTTCTAGATTTACTTAGTAAATATCTACATGTACCTTAAAAAAAAAATTAGTGCAGAAATTGAATTATAATGAATGAAAACAAACACGCTATTTCCTGTCCTTAACATTGTGATATAATGCAAAGCAACGACAGAGGTGAGTGTATGAGCTGATGGTAGAGAGTGGGGATTTAAATGAATTACAAATTTATAAAGTATTAATATGTTATTTCAGCTTTACATTGCTTATGTTTGTCAAGACAAAAGATGGCAGTAAAAGTAGAAATAGCCTACAAGCTGTTGTATGCTGGACTATCAGCCACTGTTCCTGATAAAACAGGTAACGTGATACACAGGATAATTCAACATGAAAGGAAAAATATTTTTTTTTACTGTAAATAAACTTATATAACTTATGCCTATTTCAATTTATATTAAATAAATATTCATAAAAGACCTAAATGGTCACTAAACATTTTTGTTATATGGTAAAAATCCTACTCAGACTAAATTTCATAAGTGTATCAAGGGATGTACACTACTAGAACATTTGTTTGGTGTTAGACTGCATTAGTTTACTGAAAAATAACATTTGTTGAGGTGTAGCATTGTAATTTTTTATTACCTATGTTTATAAAAACATATAAGAGGTAGGACACTGGTCAACTTTAAAATCCAGTTTCATAAATTTCTTAAAATTCATGTCAAAAATTATCAACAGGAAAGATGGCACTGTGTCATGAGTTATCTTCAGCCCTGAAGCCAAGATTCAAGAATCCCAAAGCCCAGCAAACAACCCTACTCATCAGAATACTAGTGAAGGCAGGCTCAAATTTTAACCCTAAAAGCAACCAGCACAAAGCATTCGTAAAACATGTCTTAAATTTGTACAGCGACTCTTACCATCTTCATATTCTGAACGAATTCGAGCCAGTTCTCTCCCTAACAGCTGTACACAAACTTTTACCCATAATCCCTAAAGACGATGAAAATTATCAACAGCTTGTGAAGATGTTGAGAAGGTTGTCACACGGAATTCAGACACTGAAATTCATGTGTAGAAATGCATTAAGGACAGAGCTGAAAGGAAAAGTGTTGATCAAAGTGGATTATCTCCCTTTGCCGAGGACGTTAAAGCAATATGTATTGTTAGAAGATGAGTCCTAATGTTTTAAGTTATTGTTCAAGGTATGAAGTAGTAATTAACTTTTTCTATGAGTATATTGTTCTGACAAATAAATTGGTTGAAATACAATCCCCTTTGTCTGTTTCATTATTTTTTTAAATAAGATTTTATCTTAATGAACAAAAATTCTGAATTTAGCAGGAATTTGATTAGGCCTATTACTACTTGTAGCATGAGAAAATGTATTACGATATTAAGATAAGGATTCGCCACGTATTAAGAAGGAATATTTAACGCATGTTATGCAAATAAATGGTGAAATGTTTTATTCTTACAACCAATTCCACAGCATCAAATAATATATTATACCTGGAATACCAAGTTGATTTTGAATGATGCAGTTAAGGGCACGAGGTTTGAGGATACTTCACTCTTAATCACCACAGTTAGTAGTTGAATTGACACCCTCTCCCCCACCCCCACCCCCCAAAAGAGTTCAGGTAACAAAATAAGGACTATTATTTATACGTGTACATGTATATCATCGAGTGTTTATTAATACAGTTAAGATTAAATACGGAATCTTACTGGCTTAGGTTATAATTATCTACACTTTCATGTGCTCTTTCTCAAGTCTGCATGGAAAATACACTTCAATTTTCTTTATTATTGACAATGGCTTTCAGCCTAGTAGACAGTTTCACTGAAGACATTGTAGACAGCCATGATGGTATTTGTTAATGGAATTGACAAAGTTTATATCTATCTAAACCATTTTTGTGCTCTGTCGTCAAATCGGGAACCTGCAAATACATTGCTTTTTACAAACAACGACATCCAGCTTAGAAAGATCTTTCATTATTTGATGATTTAATGATGATATAATTTAATAGTGTAAAATGCGCTAAGAAAATATGGCAGAACAGAAGTATCGGAAGGGGGGGGGGTTCAGATGGGGGTGCACCAGCCCCCCCCCCCCCCCCCAAAAAAAAGACATAGTTTTCACTGCCATGCATCTATAAATTAGGGTAAAATTGCAGTCATTCTCAAAATAAGGATTCTTATCATTGATTCTAAGGGGCTTTGGAGGGCTATACCTCCAGTCTCCCAATAGGACAATGTCCTGGACCCGCTGGAGATGGCCCCTAGACACCCCGCCATCTAATAGCCCCCTCCCCCAGCAAAATCCTGGATTTGCGCCCGTGGCAGATATCTGTCAACATGTGTTAAGGACAGACAGCATGTTTTACATTATTTTTCAGTAATATAATTTTAATTGAATAAAATATGCTTACCCGTATTCAACTTGTCTGCGTGGATGTGGTATATCGGCCACTATTCAAGTAAGCAACTTTGTATCTGCATACAAACAGCAATAGCATTTGTTTTAACAAATTATTTACTAACTTTTAAGGAAACAAGAGTAAAAGAGGAAGTTAACATGTTTAAAATTCCAAAAATAGTACGAAGAGATTATCGTTATACATGTATTTATGCAGGTGCCCAGAAGAGAGAAAAGATTTTCAGCTATGGCATTGCAAGTAATCTGTGATTTAATTATGACAACTAAACTATATAAAAAAAAAAAAAAAAAAAAAAAAAAAAACCAATAAGCAATGCAAATAACGTAATCGTTTCAGGATGAGGATTCGCAGACGAGGAAAAGGTTTTGATAATGATTGTTCAAGACGATTATTCCAATGCATGACACTAAGAATAACATATAAAACTTGAGTGATCGCTTGTGTAATTTTTATTTTCATAAAGAAACAAAAGTATATTCTTAAAACTAATTTGAACTGAAATGGGACCTTAAATTGAAACTTTAAGAATCTGTAATTTTTGTGATCCTCTTCTTGTAGAGGGATAAGAGTTATTTCATAATGTGTAAAAGTAGTTTTAACAAGATGTGTTTGTGAAACACTATGCCCCCGATGGTAACACAATTCTGGAGTGGGACGTAGACTACAGTGCAATAGTTATGGCCAATGTTGAAGTTTTTCAAATGTAGGTCGAAGGTCACAGTTGGGGTCACATGATTAAAAATTTCTGTACCAATGAAAAGGTCTTGTCATAATGAACACTCATGTCAAATATTAAAGCCTTACCCTTGATAGCGCAATAGTTATGGGCTAGGTTAAAGTTGAGAACAGACAGACAGACAAACAGACAGACAGGACAAAAACAATATACCCCGGGATCTTTCGATCCAGGAGCATAAAAATGTCTGATCTGGAAAATTGTGCTCTTTGGTTGGTATACATTCAAGAAATGAAAATAGTGTTACACTGTGTTCTTTACACAATATAATGTAAGGTTAAATGTGGCACTTGTATAAGTTGTTAGTATAAAGCATGGATATACCAAAGAGATTTTTTTTCGAAGCGATGAATTAATAATATAAACAAGATTTGTTTGTGAAACTCTGAAGTCCCCATATGGCAGCTCAAGGCTAAGGTTAAAGTTTTTCAAAAGAAGGTCAAACTCCAAGGTCAAGAGCTCGAGTTCAAAAATGTTGGTACCCAAGGAAGGGGGTCTTGTTACAAGGAATACACAAGTGAAACGTGAAAGCCCAAGCTCCAACCATTTCGAAATATAACGAAGCTTAAATTTTTTTTTTCAAAAGTAGGTCATACCCTAAGGTCAGCGTCATGAGATAAAAAAAAATATTGGTACCAAAGGAAAGAGGTCGAAAATATTAGTACCAAAGGAAAGGTCTTGTCACAGGGAATACATACTAGTAATTGAAATATAAAAGCCCTAGCACCAGCCGTTCAAAAGTTATAGGCAAAGTTAAAGTGTTTACAAATGTAGGTCAAACTCAAAGGTCATTGTCAGGAGGTCAAAAAATGTTGATACCCAAAGGAAGGTCGTGTCACAAGGAATACACATGTGATATATGAAAGCCCCAGCACCAGTTGTTAAAAAGACCTGGCCAAGGTTAAAGTTTTTTAAAAGTAGGTAGACTCCAAGGTCAAGGTGAAAAAATGTTGATACCCAAAGAAAGGTCTTGTTACATGGAATACACATGTGAAATATAATAGCCCTAACTTCAAATGTGCAAAAGTTATAACCAATGTTAAAGTTTGGTGTTTTTTTTTTTCAAAATTAGGTCAAACTGCAAGGTCAAGAGGTCAAATTTTTTCGTACTGAGAGAAAAGTTTTCTCACAAGGAATTTACTTGTGAAATATGAAAGCCCTTGCACCAATCTTTCAAAAGTTATGGGCAAGGTTTTTGCGGACAAACAGATTCACAGACAGACGGACGGACAGACCAAAAACTATATGCTCCCGAATCTTCGATTAAAAAATCCCATACCAAGTCCTGTACAATGTATTAGCCATTATTTCATGGCCAAGTGGACTATGATCTAGTAAGCCGGTACGTTGAAGATATTTGTACAAGGGAAGTACATGTACGGATCATTGTTCACTATTTCTTGGACTTCGTTTGTTGTTCAAGTTCAAGGATGCCCCAGAACTGATGGCTCACAGTACTATTATGTTGAAAACTGACACTTCTACGTGTTTATGTTCACATTATTTTTATGTCTTTAGTGCAAGACGGTCTCAGCGAAATAAAGAAGCTATTGAAATGTCGCCGACAATGGAAGTAGTTAAAATTTTATTTATGTGGAATATGAATATCGAAAATGAGCAACGATTTCTTTTCTTCCTCGTAAAAGGAGGTTAAACATCTACTACATATGTAGCTTAAATGAACATTACTGAACGAGGACAAGGTACACGCCCAAATTACGCAATTGAATTCGTCGTCTTTTATTTTACATGCTGTAAAGTATTCTATTCTTGCATGAATTCCGATTCATTATATTTAATATAGAAAATTCCTGAATGAAAAACTAGTTTCACCAAATTATTTAATAGGTTTCTTTAATACCTCGATCGTGCTTTTCATCACCATTTCTCAAGGTTCATGCATGCAATGCAATTGCCGTTTTATTCTTGACATATAAACTTGCACGATTCCCAGATTTATTTTGTTACACCTATAATTATATGGAAACATTTCTATCTGGGTGATGCTGCTGATATTTTTTTATGCCCCCGTAATCGAAGATTCGGGGGCATATAGTTTTTGCCCTGTCCGTCTGTCTGTCTGTCTGTCCGCAAAAACTTTAACTTTGCCCATTACTTTTGAATGGTTGGAGCTATGGCTTTCATATTTCACATGTGTATTCTTTGTGACAAGACCTTTCTTCGGGTACCATCATTTTGACCTTGACCTCGGAGTTTGACCCACTTTTGCAAAATATTATGAGGCTTTAACCTTGGCCATACTAGTAACTTTTGAACAGTTGGAGCTTAGGCTTTCAAACTTCACATGTATATTTCTTTTGACAAGGCCTTCCTTTGGATACCAACATCTTTGACCTTGGAGTTTGACCTACTTTTGAAAAACTTTAACCTTGACCATAACTTTTGAACTGTTTGTGCTAGGTCTTTCATACTTCGCATGTGTACTCCTTGTGACAATACCTTTTTTTGAATGTCAACAACTTTGACCTTTTGACCTTGACCTTGGAGTTTGACCTACTTCAATTTTGAAAATTTTTAACCTTGGCCATAACTTTTGAACAGTTAGCGCTAGGGTTTTCATACTTCACATATGCATTCCTTGTGACAAGAGCTTCCTTTAGATACCAACAACTTTGACCCTTTGACCTTGACCTTGGAGTTTGACCTACTTTTGAAAAACTTTAACCTTAGCCATAACTTTTGAACAGTTGGTGTTAGGGCTTTCATATTTCACATGTATTTTCCTTGTGACAAGACCTTCCTTTGGATACCAACAATTTTGGCATTGACCTTGGAGTTTGACCTACTTTGAAAAAATTTAAACCTTGGCCATAACATTTGAACGTTTGGTTCTAGGGCATTCACATTTCTCGATCATGTGTATCACTTGTGACAAGACCTTCCCTTGGGCACCATTTGACCTTGACTTTGCTGTTTTACTTACTTTGAAAAAACTTTAACCTTCGCTACAACTTTTCAACGGTTTGTACTAGGGCTTTCATATTTCACAGGTATATTTCTCGAGATAAGACCTTTCTTTGGGTACCAATATTTTTGACTTCTTGACCTGGAGTTTGACTTGCATTTGA